CATGGATTAAACAGGAGCTGGGAGTCAGTGCTGGCAGTCCAGATTGAGGCACAGGCTGGAGAGGGAATGTCGCAGACATCTGAGAGTGACAAGTGTAGGGACATCCTAGTGTAGGGTCCCTAGCAACTGGGGGATGGGTCTGGAGCTGGAAAGGGGCAGGATGAGCATGGTTGGGAGGTGGGCACGGGGGCAGATGCTGAGTACAGAGGTGAAGATGAGACTGGGAGGTACAGAAGTGGAGGTGGCAAGTGACATGCTTGTTCTAGAGTTTGAAGGGAAAGCAACGGGTTAGCTGGTTGGGTAGCACAGGGAAGGAAAAGTTTGGGAGGTAAAGGAGAACCTGGAATGTGTTCAGAGGCAAAAAGAAAAGGGCCTGGAGAGAGATCAGGATTGGAGGCAGGAAAGGGAGTGGAGGAGGTGAAAAGGGGGCTCAGGTAGGTGCCCTGAAGTGGACAAGGGGTGGTTCTCTGAGATCACATTGGGCAGTGCCAAGGAGCCTGAGGCAAGGGCCAAGGGATCAGGGCCCTTGGCCTGCCAATCTGACCAGGATGTTCTAGAGGCCAATCTGACCAGGATGTTCTTGAGGCAGCTCCCTCCCTGTGGCCCCAGTCCCATTCAACAAGCATTCCTTTCACACCTACTGGGTTGGGTTAGTTTCACAGGGTTGCATGGAAGAGGGAGATGAGGTAGTGCTAGAGAAGAAGGCTAGAAGGCTTCCTAGAGGAGGTGACACTTAATCTGACCATCGAAGGCCAGGCAGCATCCCTAAGGGTGGCACCTGAGTCCCAGTCCTCTGGGGGCGAAAGACGAGGGAGCTGGGCACCCCTGACCTGGCCCCCTTCTCTAGACGTGGAGAGGAGGAAGAGCCCCGTGTGCGGCTTTGTGACCCCCCTGCAGGGGCCTGAGGCTGACGCGCATCGGAAACCGGAGGTAGGTGAGACTAAGGGGACCACCGCCCACCTGCCTCCTCCCCGAACCCGGCCCCTCCCTCGAGTCCCTCCCTGCACTGGGCGGGAGGGGCCGGCAGAAGGGGATCGCGTGGGGGGTGAAGTCAGTGCTCCCCCTCGCACGGAGCCCCCTCCCGGTCTTCCCCAGGCTGTGGTCCTGGAAGGAAATTACTGGAAGCGGCGCATCGAGGTGGTGATGCGCGAGTACCACAAGTGGCGCATCTACTACAAGAAACGGGTCAGTGGGGACCCCGGGGGACGCGCCGGACTTTTCCCCGGCCGGTGCTGGCCCCCGCTCCTCTTGGAAGAGCCCGAGGAGGCGCCCCCGCCCTCCGTTAAGACCCAGGCTGACAGCGC